AAAAGTAGTTTTGAAGAAGAATTACAGTCTGTCTTCTGAATGGTAAAGCAGTATAACCAGCACTAAACACAACTGAAATTTTGTAATGACCAAACCTCAGCTCATCCAAATCCCCAATAGCATTAAATCCCTAGAATTGGGCTGTAAATTTGATTAGCCTTACAACAGACATGAGACACGAATGTTCTCCTTTATACAGTCATATTAAGTGGCTGCAAAAGAAGATGACAAGGCATTGTAGAGCAGCCCATCCAATATTTTTAAACTAGGAAAAAGTTCCAGTTCACCCAGCTTTCAAAACTACATTTAAATACAGGGTAATTTAATGAATTCTAATAGAACATGAGGATTACATATGGTAAGTGAGGGGGGATTTAGCAGCTGCAGCCTTCCTATAATCACCCAGTAGCTTTCTTCATACTTTACTTCTCTTGATTGACGTTTCTATGAAAGCTACATCACTGAACCTTAGCTTCCGTCCATTCTTGTTTGATTTCATGCTTTTTAAATATATTTTCATTAATCTTGTGCTTTCCTTTACCATGAAATTTGGTGCTGTAACTCCTGGTGTGTGTTCCAATTTTACATGGAACTAATCAGAGTATTGGATAAAAAAATAAGCTTTAAACAAGCTAGTTTATAGAAGCATCCTAGGGCAGATTTCTAGAAGTGAGAGTCAGGGGCTAGAAGGAATTATGAGACCTTAAAGATTTTGAGGTCCAGAGTTGCAGCAGCTTGTCTGGTGAGGTGACACTGTGCATCACAGCATGACTCCAAGAGCTCCTCACATAAGATTGTTGCAGCCAGCACCACCCACAACGCTATTTCTGGGTTTCTGCTCTGTATAATCACAGAATGGTTTGGTTTGGAAAGGACCTTAAGATCATCTAGTTCCACTCCCCCTGCCATGGTCAGGGACACCTCACACTGGCTCTGTCCAACTGGCCTTGAACACTGCCAGGGATGGAGCATTCATAGCTTCCCTGGGCAACCCATTCCAGTGCCTCACCACCCTCACAGTAAAGAACTTCTTCCTTATATCTAACCTGAACTTCCCCTGTTTAAGTTTGAACCCATTACCCTTGTCCTGTTGCTACCATCCCTAAAGAAGAATGCCACGCGCAATTGCTCTGCCTCGTCCTGGTTCTCCATCCACCGGCACCCTGAGGGCTGGGGTACCCATGCCTGCCCCTATGGCATGGAAGAGGCTGTGGCAGGTGATGCCACTCCAGCTCTCCAACCAGCACTATGCATCTGGTGATCCAAGAGGTTCCAAAGAACATTACTCCTTTGGGCTAGGAGTTGCATAGTTGTGCTGTTATTGGTATTAATGTAGTGTGGGTTTATTTTCATTTCTTTCACTAGGTTGTTCTAATAACACATTTCTGGCATAGCTTTATATTCCGATCGCTTGCTTTCGTTGTCATTTGGACATAGTCCTGTTTGGAGTCAATCCACAATGAACCCTGATTCACTGATGAATCATGCTTCTTTTGAAAAAATAAATAAGTAAAAGAAAAAACCTAGAGTGGTTTCCTAGTTATGAAACAGATTTCTAACATCAAGACTAAACCCACAGATATATACAAGTAGAAAATAAGAAACAGTTTCGTGGTAATGAGAAATGGAAAATGGAAAAAGTGCCATTATGAATTTTGAGAGCCAGTATTCCTTTTTATCTCTTAATTAGATAGTTAGCGCAGTGCTTGTTTTATAAATATGTATTTGGCTCTTCTGGTGGAGATTTCACAATACTCCTTAAACAGTGCAGCCCATCTGAGAACCAGGTGGTGTTCAGATATGTGCTACTTAGTTTAGGAAGTTAATGGGAACCATAGTTTCTTCCTCATACTTGGTATTTTGTAGAACTCAGACATGATAACCAAGGGTAGTGCGGAATTAAATCTTTTAACTTAGGTGCTTCGATTTATATTGTAAGCTACATTTCTCTCCTCACCAGCTGTGCTGACTTCCCAAACAAAGCAGTTGTGCCTCCTGAAGGTTTTATGTCTTCACAGGGTCTGTTAAAATAAGCCAGGTCTTCAGACACCTGTTGAAGAGTCGTTTTTGAAGTTATCGTGAATAACTACGTATAATGACAACACACCTTGAGACCCTCTGACAGGGATGTAAAATAGCTGGGCCTCTCTGGCAGTAGCTATTTTTTCATTCTCTCAGTTTGGTTTCTCAAAAGAGCAAGTGGCTTTGCCAAACTGTGGGTTTGTTCTTTTATTCTGTTATAACCGATAAAATGTATAACCAAATAGCAAAGAACAACTTATCGCTGTTGCTACCCAGAGCACCTTTTAGTAGCATCCGCTCATTAGCTGGCTGTGGATGCAGCTGATGCTGCTTATGCTCCAGCAGGCAAGGACCTCTCTTTGATTCAGCAGTCCTGCTTCACACAGGCAGACACTGATGGAGGGAGGCACTGACTCGAGGGAAGCACCCAAGATGATAGCCAATTCACAGGTCACTCTCTCGGTGGGAATTTAAACACCTACAACAAAAACTATGTAGACCTCTGTACAAGCTGCCACCTCCACTCTTTCCCCAACTGCCAAACAAAACACTGCAAAAACAAAAGCTTGAACATATGGATAAATAAACAGCCTAGTTCTCTATATTTACTGGGCTTCAACAGATTTCCACACATTCTTACAAAAACTCTTCTCACTGATTCTGCCACCCCAAAAATATGTAGAAACCCTCCCATGCTGGGACGAGGTGAGAGGAAGAGCCTGTACGTTCCAAATCCTTCCAAAGATATATGTTGTTAAAATACTTCCTTGCTCCCAAGCAGAGATATAGATGGAAAACCAGACTAGAAAACAAAACATTGTCATCTATCATCATGGGGATGATCCTCAGTACCCTTTCAGTATATCAAGGAAATTGATTTACAGCTCTCAATGTGAAAGACGCTTTCACAGAAACATTCATCCCACACATAAAAGACTTTCAGATTTGAACTGGGTGAACCTTTACTACAGCATATCACATTTCACTGACTCATATAAGGTTTTAGAATGTTCTTCGTGGCAGCACTTTAAATACACACTAAACCTTATCAAGACATTGCTGCCTTCCAGATAATAAGGCCATCCTTGCAACCCATCACAGCCAGATGCCAAACCCCACATTCCCCAACAGCATGAAAATTGGCACCTTCATCAAATTTTGCTCCAAGGATTCCTTTCAAGTTCAACCCTTAATCTCTGTATGACCATGGGTCTGTGAAAGTGCTTATTCACACAGTGGTGTCACGTCCCAGGAGGGTGTGGGAATTCACAACAGTGCTGTCAGGATCATCCCCAAGCTACCCTTACATTATGAAAAGGTTTCCCTGTGGCTACTCCCTAAGTTTTTGCCAAGAGGAATGTCCTCTCCCATTGCCCAAGTTCCCCATTTACCCTGCAGTGCTTCTCAAATAAAATAAATACCCACAGACTGTTAGCCTCCTATTTGCACAGAACAAAATCCGTCTGGTAATCCCTTATATAGTTCTTCACCTATGAGAATGTTGATGAGGAGTTAAAAGGTGATGTGATATACTTCCTAGTCTAAAACTTTTTAAATATATCTTAGATCAGATATGCGTCTTTGATGCTCATGCATGTGAAATTAGCAAAGTCCAGGCCTTGGTGACCTCCTCTGAATACATTAAGATATTAAAAGGAAGCATAGGCAGAAAGTGTTTGCAGGACTGAGACTACCAGTGCTTAGTGCATTGCAGTCACAGTGATAACCTGACTTGCTAATTTAGAAGGTGCAAACTTAAGATTCAGATCATGGGCTCTTCCTGAAAGTGCAGGGTATATGTTCAAAGCAAAAGATTTTTTTTATTAGATATTATTCACTGATATTCACTAAAGTTGGCAGTAAGACAATCAACTGATTTTTGGCTAAGCCAGCATATTTCTCTAATCATAAACTCTTATAATCAACAAACAAACAAAAAAGCTCAGATTTACTCTGCTTTGTAGAAGGCCTGACACGTAGTCCCAGGAATTTCAGTAGTTAATAATGCAGAAGCCACACTCAGATTATGATTGTACTGGGGCAGCCAGATTCATATTGTTCAATGGCACCATCTTCAGTCAACTACAAAGCTGATTTTTAACTGGCTTTCAGAAGAAGCTATGTTCACCTGTCATAAGTCAGGGACAAACAAGGTATCAGTGCTTTTGAACTTGCATGGTACAGTCTCAGGAAATACGCTGTTTCAGAAGAAATATTAAGAGTATGGGTTCCCAAAAAAAGGAAAATCCCTATGCATTTTGCCTACTTTAAATTGAAAAGAGAAAAATTCTGTCTGAAAAATGTTGATTACAGACAGTCACTTCTGGGAAAGCCTTGTCTGGGTTTGTTTTTCTTAGAGGACTGATTGCTTTTGATTAATTATTTCTAAAGTAATTTGTAGATCCAGACTAAACCATGCAGCCTTTCTGGCGATACGAATGTTCAGAAAGATTCCATAAATCAAATACCAATTCCCAAAGTCTGGAATTAACTTTTGTTGCTTTGAAAATAGTACTCACTGCCCTAATTCCTTATCTTTATTTATGCTGTAAAACTCAAAGTATTTTTAAAAATAAAGAAATAAATAAAAAACATTGAACCAGATAATAGAATTCAATCCTATCATCTTCTTAGGTGATAGTACAGATATTTGTGGGAGTCTAATTATCATAAATGACATCACCTGAAAACTACTTTTAGCTCAAAATAGAATTGCTGGACCATCTGTTTCCGAGGCAGAATTTTGTAAAATGGTTTTAGTTATGTTTACCAGAAATGTATAACTAATTGCCAGACAAGTCCTCTCCATCTTCTTCCTTTCCTCTTGTATGCATGTGTGCTGTCAGAATGGGACTAGTATATGCAGGCATCTTGTTCTTACAGTTAAACCTAAGAGAGATGAATCAATGTGATCTAAGAATACCTTTTTCATCCTTCCAAGGCTGACAAGTATTTCACAGTTTGTGTTTCCTTTTCAGCTGACCCCCTGGTTGGAAGTATTGCCACTCAGTATATGACTAACAGAGCAGAACACGACAGAATGGCCAGACAGTGGACCAAGCGATATGCCACATAGGAACCTACTCTAGGATTTGCTGGACCTGTGCAAGCACATTCACTAAGTGCATCAATAGCCCTTCCCTTCATTTTTATTTTTTATTAAATTTTGAACCATTTTGTGACAAAAGGTTGTCCTTACTTTCTTTTTTTGTTTTATTTTATTTGTTTGGTTTGGTTTTTTTTTTTTGTTCTGTTAACTTGAAAGTTGTTTCCCTCAAATGTAGACAGGGAATTTTCGTTATCAGTGCAAAGAATGTTGGATCTGTAATAGTATAGAGCTTTGTCACAAAGCTTTGTATTAATGTGTGGGTTTTGGTTGTTTTTTGGTTTTTTCTTTCATGTGGTTTTGGGGAAAACGAATTCAGAATTATATCTCATTTCTACTTAAATGTAGTGTTTAGGGTTATTTTTTTGTACTGAAGTCTAATGGTGGGTGCATGCTACTGGGAACAAGTTTTGTATAAAAGCTTAAAATCAAGAATCACTGTGCATTACTAAGACTGTGTTTATCACTAGCCTTCTGTTTCCCACGCAAAAGGCTACTGCATTGAACAAATTAATATGTATTTTGATTTACTTAAAAAAAAAAGAAAAAAAAGTGCTTGTAAATTTCTTAGGGACCTGCCACTTCTGACTGTGGATCAGTTGATGTACACTTGTATTATTAAAACACTCAATAAAACACTGTGGCTGATAAATGCACTTCTTGCAAGACGGTGCTTTTGCATTTGTGCAGTATAGGCTGCATTGTCCTCTCAAAACACAACTGCAGGTTAAGCAGTTTTAGACCTAAATTATTAATTTCTTCTCAAAAACGCATCTCTGAACTTGGAATTCTTCATTGTGTATGTATTTCATATACAAACATCTCTCAGATTTTAAGGCCTTTCTTTCACATGCTGCTGCTCAGCCTAGCTATTCAGAAGCCTCTTGCTGCATCTTTTATACTATGGTTTCACTGTATCTTTCACTGTATCCATCTCATTACATTTAAAATAGTTGGCTATAAAAATAGCCTTGCATGGAAAGCAGAATATTGATGATGATTTTATACAGGAGCCCTCATTTTGCCTTTCTCCAAGCTCTTTAATTGTAAAACCAACTGTTATTTAAAAGAATAAATGGAGGGTTTCGATGGCAAAATTGAGCCCATTGCACTAATCATTCCCAGCACGTTCAATGGTAAGGGTATTTCTGTTCAGAGTTGACCTTCAGGCTAATTTTAGATATGCAGCAGTAGAAGGAAAACTTACACTTGGCTAAGGAAATGTGTGGGTGTTGTGATTTAGAAAATATATAGTGTGATGCTGATATCTATAATGTTCGTTCTTTGTGTTGCAAGTCATATTGGAAAATCCCTGTCTCTCATAATTAAACATTACAAATGCTATATATAGTGCTTGCCTGCCCTCTCCCCTCTCTCCTTGCCTCTTATGTTTAAAGAAGATCTTATCTTAAAGATAAGGGGACAGTATAAACATATGGGAGACCCAGTCCCATTACAATTCCACCCAATCCAACCGTCCTGAAAATTAAGCAGTCAAGGTGACACCATAGAGCCTTTATACCAACCACTGCGCTGCTCAACATTTCCAGGATGGTTTGGTTTTCTCTTAGCCATTTGCTAATAACGGACATAGCACTTGAATCTACTGTGTGAAGAGAAGCTGAATGCTGACTTTGTTGTAGGTGGTATATAACTACTGCCCCACAGACCACAGGGATCTCAAAGAAATAATCAGCCTCTTCCGATCAAAGCAAATGGACAGTCTGCTGGTGTCTGCAAAAGCCAACTGTTTACAATCCCTGCCATACAATATTTTGAGGCCAACAGATCCTAAATACAGACATGAAAGAACAATTGCCGTTCAAAAATAAAACAAAACCCCAAAAGCAGACTTCTCTGAGCTAGAACACCTTCTCAGGACAGCTGTTATGCATGCTTCCTTTGAAAGCTGTTTCCACGCTACAAGTTGCCACGAAGTACCTCCGCATCTGAAGGGAAGCCTCTTCCTGTAAAAATACAGCAAAAGGGTAAAGGGATTAAAAAGAACAAGTACATCTTGCCCGATACAGTAACTGCATTACTTCTCCTCTTACCCAATCTGCTGAAGAGATTCCTGCCATAAAAGACCTGTATCCCCTGAGACAGCAATTAACGGGCAGTTTCATATTTCTTATGAAGTACTTGAAGTGTCTGCCACTCTGCAGCCTTTATTTACACTCAGCTGAGCATAATGCAGTAATTTTCCAGGTACATTTTAAACCTGCTTGAAAAATAAGTCTTTAATTCCTACTGTCATCTTTTTCACCCTCTCCCAAATACAAAGAAGACATTATAAACAGAAGAGCTTATGGTATCTCTAATGAAGATGTAACTGAAAGACAGCTGAGATATCTGGAGTAGGAATCACAAAATTCTTAATAAATGTCTGTTTTCAGTTCATCAGCTCTCACTTGCCTTTCTTTACTGATGAAAAGCTGCACAGTTTGAATTTGCAGGTAAGTTGCCCTCTGTGTGAAGCTGAACAGTCGCTTTGTCCTAGATAATATAAAACTACTGCCTTAAGAACCACAGGGATCTCAAAGAAATAATCAGAAACCCACCTTGATTAAAGCAGATGCAGAGTCTTCTGGCATCTGCAGGAGCCAAATGTTTGCAAGTCTGGCCATAAAACACTCTCCTCTATTTGCAAATCTGCTCTATTTGCCTCCCAAGTAATTCTTTTTCTTCATCTGCTCAACCTGGGGAATATGAAGCAATATTTGAAACCTGCTGTTGCCGCTGAGGAGAAATAAGCCATTCCCAGCAGAATCCAGTCTGCCTGCACAGGCCCACTGAACAATAATGTATTGGCATAGTCTCTTTTTCTCCTTTTTCCTACATCTAGAAAATATTGCTCATTATTCTATCTCACCTTTGCTCTCCACCTCCTTTGCAAATTTAGCTGATTCCTGCTTCAGTTTTTATGATAAATCATCTCTCTAACTTCTTCTAGATAGTGAAGTCCACATGCTGCCTTCCTGCAACTGGATGTGAGGATAATTCAAATGACTCGCACGTAGTATAGCATTCAGTATCATGCAGTTGTCCTAAAACAGCAGATAAAGGCCATCGCTTCAGAAAATCTCAGTATTTTCTCAGGGACACACTGATTCGGAGAAAACTCCAGGAACAAACTTGCCAGCAGAGTTTCAAGTTGACAAGCAGGTATTCTTTATTGCGGCGCCGGGAGGCACGGGGGATAGCTCCTCCTAACGTGTGTCCCCGAATTGCTGTACAGGTCATCCTTAGATGGTCACTGAGCATATTACATCGTTTTCCAAAAAGTTTCAGCATGCTTACAAAATGTGGTGGTCTTTAAGGATCGTTTACTTTTCCCAACAAGCTGAATGAACATTACAGACATAGCAATCATCCTGGCCTTCTACTTATCTGTTAGTTCAACTGCTCTCATCTTGGGCATCTGCTAGGCCGGGATACTCCCTAGTAGATGCTTACACCAGCTTAATGGGTTTATTAACACCTCAAGCATAGCAATCATCCTGTCCTTTTACTTATCAGTTAGTTTATCTGTGCCACCCTGGACATCTGCTAGTCCCAGATACTCCCCAATCCCAGGTCCTGTCCTTCTATTCTGCTTTTCTCACACCTTCTGTACTGAGGCCCTGAGGGCCTGAAACTATGTCAGCTACCTCCAAGCACCGCAGTTATTTTCCATTACAAAGCCATCAAACTTAACATTACTTAGAACTGATTACATTTTGTACTTTTGTGCCTCCTTGTTTTAACACAAATGCTAAAACTGGGTTTAGTTCTTTAAAGACTTCTTACAGCTTTTCTGAATTCAATTGCAATATCAAGTAAACAATAATTAATTTCCAGTAACCCCAGCTACATGTCACTGTCCCATACCCTTTGAGTTTAATTCACATGAAGCAGAAATCAGGGAACTCTCCAAACTGCATTTACCCATGTGACCTTCATATCCCCTTGTCCGACTGACCAGCTGATTTCCCTCTCCAGAAAACTACAGAACAACATAGTTTAAATTAAGGTACCCAAAAGCATCCTGTGTTGTCTGAGACAGCATTTCCAGATTGCTCCAGGAATGAGCAGGGTCATAACCCTTTTGATCACACACATTGTGGGCAACTGCAGGCAAACAGTTAAAATTCATTAAAACCAGCTGCTGTGCCATGAAAAAGGCAAGAATTCCTCTTGAAAGATCCTTCTTCAGGTTTTCATCTTCAGAGCTACAGGTGCCCAAACATTGGATGGCAGCTCACAGCCCTTCTGCCCTGCTGTCCTGTGCAATGAGACCATGTAAGAATAAAACACCAAGGGTATTGGACCACATAAACCCCAAAACTGGGGCTCTCTTCACCGTCCTTTCAACCCAATGCACACTCTGGGTGCAGTGCATGCTCTGAGCCGCTCTTTCAGCATGCCTTTAAGCATTCTCCCTCTCGATGGCTGTCTTATCTTTGGCATTAATCCTTCTGATTTATTCCTTATTCACCCTTCCCTTCTCTCTGGCTGCTTGACTGATTCATTACTCGAACCTGAGAGGCCACCCAAGACCCTGCTCCCAATTCAAATAGCTCTTCCTGAAGTTGCCTGAGCATAGTAATCTCTTTGTTCCCCAAGTACCTGCCCAGAATGTGCCTCCAGGCCCCTCTCTGCTCCCTCTTGCCAGAGGCAGTGCCTAATGCAGCAGGAAAAGCAGAGGCCGCTCTGCTGGAGTGCAAAGATGCAAGTGATGATTCAGACAGTGCAGCAACTCCCACTTACTCCAACCCCAGCATTATCCTGGGGTCCCTTTCCTCCTTTGCAGTTCTCAGAAACTTCTGCCTCTGAAGTTGGACACCTTGCCCCAGGCCCAAAGCGCCTGCCTGCATTTTGAGTTGGGCAGACTCAGGAAGGACTCGGAGTAAAAACTCTGGCACCTGCACAGTCCAATCATCCAGCCTTGGCAGCCACAGTTCCTGCGGAGCCAGCTCTACCTGCTGGTTTTCCATCTTCTGCCTTTTCTTCTCCTCTTCTTTTCATTCCCTTTCATTTCTTGTCCTGTCCTTTCCCCCAAGACATCAATACTAAATCTTGATGCTTCCTTCTCGCTTATTCCCTCACCTCAGCTACAGCTCTGTTCTTCCTGCAGTACTAATGAGACTGTGTCACTAAACACTGGGCCTCCTGGAGCTGCTTGAAATCCCCTGATTTTTAGGTCTTAGAAGCAAGGAAGAAGTCTGTATGAATTAAGTACTTCCTTATTGTGCCACGCCTGGCACTGGCTATAAAATATATCACTTCTCCCACACACATCATTAGCAGTAATGAAATCCGGACTGGCCTGCCTCCTTAGCATGACATCCATATGCAAATGCATTTCCTCAGCTCAAACGATTTGCAGATCCAATGCATTGCTGCTTGGGACTCCTCCAGCAGCCTCTTTCAGGTCACAACTGGAATATATTTGGGGACTACTATTTACCAGGAAGACTTTTATGACACCTTTGAAACCATCATTCTACACCCTTATTCCATCATGAACTTTAATCGGGACCTGCAGCACTTTGGGATAATGAAAAAGGCACAGCAAAACATGCCTTTCATGTGTACTTTGATGGTAGAAAGAAAGTAGTCACAGGCTGATGGAAAGTTGAAATAGAGACAAGGCTACTAAGCCATCCTAATCCCT